TCCAGTCTCTTCTTAAAACTTCCAGTGTTGGAGCATTCACCGCTTCTGGAGGCAGGTTGTTCCACTGGTTAATTGTTCTAACTGTCAGGAAGTTTCTCCTTAGTTCTAGGTTGCTTCTCTCCTTGATCAGTTTCCATACGTTGCTTCTCGTCCTGCCTTCAGGCGCTTTGGAGAATAGCTTGACTCCCTCTTTTTTGTGGCAACCCCTGAGATATTGGAACACTGTTATCATGTCCCCCCTTGTCCTTCTCTTTATTAAACTAGACATACCCAATTCCAGCAGCCGTTCCTTATATGCTTTAGCCTCCCCCTGAGATATTGGAACACTGTTATCATGTCCCCCTTCGTCCTTCTCTTCATTAGACTAGACATACCCAATTCCAGCAGCCGTTCCTTATATGTTTTAGCCTTCAGTCCCCTAATCATCTTTGTTACTCTTCTCTGTACTCTTTCTAAAGTCTCAACATCTTTTTTACATTGTGATGACCAAAACTGGATGCAGTATTCCAAGTGTGGTCTTACCAAGGCATTGTAAAGAGGTATTAACCCTTCACGTGATCTTGATTCTTTCCCTCTGTTAATGCAGGCTAGCACTGTGTTGGCTCTTTTGGCAGCTGCAGCACACGGCTGGCTCATACTTAAGTGATTGTCCACTAGGATTCCGAGATCCCTCTCACAGTTATTATTGAGCAAGGTACCCCCATACTATACCTGTATATTTGGTTTTCTTGCCTAAATGTGTTCTGTTCATAAGTTGAGGACTGTCTGTAGAATAGAGACTATACTGGTTTCACTGGAGAGTAATTTATTCTTTTCTCCCTCCCCATTATTGGAAACCTGTTAAAATGAGGTTATTTTCTGGGTATTTTATTGTCTCAAATATTAGGCACCAGGTTGAAAAGGAGAATGTGCAAGTACAACCGTTCTTTTAGTGACTGTTTCAAAGTTACAACGGGACTGAAAAAAAGTGACTCACGGCCATTTTTCACACTTAACGACCGTTGCGGCATTCCCAGGATCACACGATCAAAATTCAGAGGCTTGGCAACTGACTCGTACTTATGACGGTTGCAGCACCCTGGGGGGAGGTCAAATGCTCCCTTTTCGTGACTTCCGACAAGCAAAGTCAATGGGGGAGGCCAGATTGACTTAACAACCCTGTTACTAAATTAACAGCCGAAGCGATTCACTTAACAACCGTGACAAGAAAGGTCGTAAAATGAGGCAACATTCAATTGACGAATGTCTTACTTAGCGACAGAAATGTTGGGCTCAGTTGTGGCCATGTGTTGAGGACTACCTGTTGGGAAGAATGGGATGGAACGGATTTCTTTGAACAAGGCAAGGTTATTGCTAGGAGAGCTGGTATCGTTTTTCACGGGGAAAAATAGATTGAAATGACAACAGCTGCTCTGGATGGAAGGGAAATTTAAATCTGGATGCAGAATTCCTCCTCGCCCCACTCCCTAAGACAGATTCCCATCCTAGTTGCCATTTATTCCTAAGAGGAATTTAACATGTCTCAGCACTCAAATCATTTTTAGGAAACCTCAATGATGTGGCTGTAATGTTATTTTTTTTTAAGGAGTCGGCTTGGGGCCATTTTTTAAAAATCTTCGTGGGGTTGTGGGTATCTTTGCCATATCGGATAATATGGATTTAATAAAACTTAAAGAAAAATCCACACACCCTGTTTATGCCCCTTACCACAAGGAGAAATCTCCCACTAGTTGAGAATTGTTCTGACTTCTAAGTTGCTCTTCTTGGATGTTTTGCACTGAATCCATTTAGATGTGCTTGGTCTAAACTAAACTTCCTTAATTTCAGGGCTAGTGGTTCTATACTTAAGACAGGAGCAGTTCCTTATCTCTTAATACAGTATAAGCAAAAACATTTTTTATTTAGAATAGAATAGAACAGAACAGAACAGAACAGAATAGAATAGAATAGAATAGAATAGAATAACAGAGTTGGAAAGGACCTTGTAGGTCATCTAATCCAATCCCCCCCACCCAAAAAAAAAAGCAGGAGACCCTACACCATTTCTGACAAGTGGTCCAGTCTCTTCTTGAATGCATCTGTCCATATCCATTTCATAGTCTTTGGTCATTATCCACGATAGCACATGGGGCAAACAGCTGGCTAAAAAAGAGGCATCTAAATTTAGGCATTCTGATTTCTGCTGCTTGTATTATTAAACTTAGCTCTGTGGGAAAGCAAGGGAAAACAAGTAAGTGATTGTAGTTCTCTTGTTTCTTGTGAAGTGTTGTTATCTCAGTTGGACTGACTGATTATTTCATTTTTCTATATACTCTGCAATATCTCAGCATGCTGCTTTTGAGATTCCTAAACAATGGTGATGGTTTTTATAGATGCGATGTGGTTGGTTAGAGAAATGAAAGCCATCTTTTAATTTAAAAGGTTGGAATGTAATTTCTACTGCTTTTTTTTAAGTTTATAAATTAAAGTGGGAAGCTTGAGGCTGGTGGAATCTCTCTTCTCCACTAACTGATATTCTATGGCTGTAATTTTGAAGGCTTCTCTTTGTTAAATCTAAGCAGGACGATGAAGAGAGTTCTGCTGAATAGATTTTATGTATTAAGGACATTTAACAGTTGTCTTTCTCCGATATCGTCATTTTTTTAAAGCAGGGTCAAAACAGTTGCAATTGTCTATACATTTTGAGGTGGGAATGATCTATGAAGCTACCGGTATCAATAATAATAATAATAATAATAATAATAATAATAATAATAATAATAATAATAAGTTGGAAGGGACCTTGGAGGTCATCGAGTCCAACCCCCTGCTCAGGCAGGAACCCTACACCATTTCAGACAAATGGCTGTCCAGTCTCTTCTTAAAAACTTCCAGTGTTGGAGTATACACCGCTTCTGGAGGCAGGTTGTTCCATTGGTTAATTGTTCTGTCAGGAAGTTTCTCCTTAGTTCTAAGTTGCTTCTCTCCTTGATCAGTTTCCACCGTTGCTTCTGGTCCTGCCTTCAGGCGCCTTGGAGAATAGCTTGACTCCCTCTTCTTTGTGGCAGCCCCTGAGATACTGGAACACTGCTATCATGTCCCCCCTCGTCCTTCTCTTCGTTAAACTAGACATACCCAATTCCAGCAAATTTTTATTTAAAAAATAGATCTAAATGAGAACTTCAGTCAAAATAAACAAGACCAACACTTTTTGTTGTATTACATTTTCAAACATAACTAGTTTGGTGCATTTTCTAGAAGGACTCTGCTGTTCTGCACCAACAAGAAATAAATTGTTATATGGTGTCTTAATGGCTAATTTATTTACTGTGAAGATTAACATTCTATTCATATAAAACATTCTAGCCATATAAAATGTTACCCCAATTGGGTGCATTTATAAAGGACGGAAAAAAATATTAGGAGGGATATAAATATACCCTAGAAACTTTCTACATGATATTAAGTTATATTTCCATAACTCTTTACCCGTTTGTTTAGGGGAGAATTTTGGCAAGCTTTTATCCTTTAATTCTCTAATTGTTTATCAGCTGCAGAGTAGTGTAAAAGCAACAGAATTTTTTTTTAAAAAAACAAAACATTCATAAATATTATTTCATTTTTATTCTGCCAGGGTTCATAATGAAATACGATTTCCTTGTTGATGTAGTTCTGCTGTTTAAGTTCGCTGAAATTCTAAGGGTACCATTGTATTGCTTTCATATGGTATTGCTTTTTGTCTTGACAAATATTGACCATTTACAGAACTGAATGATGGAAACTGACAGTGGGGGATTACTCAACAATGGATTTGTCGCCAGTGAACTTTCCCATTATCCTGATATACTATAGTCCTTGACTTATGACCACAATTGGCATGGGAATTTTGATCATTAAGCAAGCTGTCACGTGACCAGACTTGATTTTAGAACTATTTTTATTCAGCCATTCAGCAAGTTGTACGGCCATTAAGTGAAACATGTAATTGTTAACCAAATCTGGTTTCCCCAATTGACTTTGTTTTTCAGAATAGCAATGGCAATGGCATTTAGACTGCCCCATGGTGCTTTCCAGCACTGTCTGGGTGGCTTACAAAGATTGCAGCCTATTGCCCCCAACAACCTGGGTCCTCCTTTTACCAACCTCAGAAGGATGGAAGGCTGAGTCAATCACGAGCCCCATCAGGATCGAACTCCAGGCTGTGAGCAGAATCTGTCTGGAAAGGTTGTAGCCATAATCGCGTGACTGCAAGATCCTGTACCCATTGTAAATCTGAGCCTCTTGCCAAGCGTCCAAATTGCAATCACATGACCGTGGGAGTTGTGCAACGGTTTGAGGATGGATCCTAAGTCACTTTTACTAAGACCGTCGTAATCTTAAACTGTTGAAAGAAAAATCTTCATCAGGGTCCAGTCCAAGCCGGGAATAAACAAAATGGAGACTGCTTTAGAAAGAAGGTTCTTGTTTATTTAGTTGCCAGAAACTTCAGTGACAGCAGCATATTTCTGGGGTGGCTGACAAAATGGAGGTGGGAGTGATGGATTAATCCTATTACGTCCTTAAGGTCACGTCTTTAGATTTTGGATGGGGTTGTAGATTTTTAGGGATCTTTTGCCTTTCTAATCCCATCAGCTTCAAGCTTCCTGGCTCCAGTCTTTCTGAAAGGATGATCAAATCTTCATTTCTACAGAGCTGGCCTGCTGAGTTTCTGCTTGGGGGAGACGGAGAAGTTTCTGCCTTTTAAGATTTTCTCCCATTATTCCTTTGTGAAATATACTATTCTGCCTTTTCAAATATCTCCCCCCCCCAAATATTTCCTTCCATTGTTAAAGTCAAGAATTACCCGTAGCCTTGCAGGTTATTGCATTTCCAGCCAATCCGTTAGCATGAAATTAGAATTCTGTCCCAACAATGCTCGTTGATTTTTCTCCCCGTATTTTGAAAAACCACTTCTATGATACCGAAAGATTTAATTTTGTCTTAACTGTTTTCTTAACGGCTCAGGCAACCGCGAATAGAAGATGGCCTCGTGTCTGTACGAATGCCTCTGTGAGGCAGAACTCCAGAAATATTATCCTCATTTTACCGCCCTCGGTTTTCAGAAGATCGACGAACTGGCCACGGTCTCCATGAAGGATTACAGCAAGCTCGGGGTTCATAACATGAAGGACCGCAAGCGTCTCTTCCAGCTCATTCGGATTATCAAGACGTTGCAGGCTGAAGAGGAAGCGGTCAGGAGAAAAGAGGAAGATTTTCAAAAAAGCGCCCGCCGTCTGCGACCCCAGCTCACTCGGTCTGGCCCACGGAGACAACTTCATTTTGATTCCGAGGAAAAAGCTGAACGAAAGGACTTCGTACCCGAGTCGGGCACTTTATCTCACAGTTCTTCCCGTGAGAGTAAAGAGGAGGCCGCTGCAGAATTCAGCCACGATTTGGTCTCCAAAAGACCCGCAGCTTGGACGGAGGATCAGCTTGTTGCTCCAGCTAGAAGTTCCTCTAATGATGTTTTAGGAGATGCCGACATATCCTTTGTGCAGAGGGTAGCTCATATCTCAGGCTACAATTATGGAGTGCCTCATTCTTACACCAGGTGATAATTTTTTTGTTATTTGCATTTCTGTTCGTGGAGAAGAGGCTAATGGAACAATAGGGCTGGAAGGAACCTTGAAGGTCTTCTAGTCCAGGGCTTTTCAACCAGTGGTACAGGTACCACCTGTGGTACATTGGCACCTGGCAGGTGGTATGCGACCATTCTAGAAAAGTGGTAGCAGGAGAGGGGAATGAGCTGAACCGGTGGTAGCACCGCACAAGCCTGAGCAAGAGATGGCTGGAGCTGCAGGGCTGTCAGGGCTCAGCGGAAGCGCCAGGATCAGCGCTTCTTCGGGGCTGTCAGGGCTCAGTGGAAGCGCCAGGATCAGCGCCAGGCTCCAGCTGGAAAGCAGCACTGATCCTGGTGCTTCTGCTGAGCCCAGAAGAAGCGCGGATTAGCTGGAATGTTGCAGCCTCTCCAGAGTCTTGTGATTTACATTCAGATGCTTGGCAACTGATTCATATTTATGACGGTCACAGTGTCCCAGGGTCATGTGAAGTGACCAAAACCTGCTGCAACCACCCAGCAGAGGGAAGGGGGAATAAAAACCAAGCCCCCCACCCCACCCCCGCTGCCAATCCCCAACAGAAATGCTCACAACAATGAAAACCTCAGACAGGAGGAAGAGTGCCGCCGGGCGGGCAGGCAGGTGTCTTGCTCGGCTGTGGCTTGGGGGGCACTTTTTTCAGTGCCATTGTAACTTCGAACAGTCACTAAGTGAACTGTTGTAAGTCGAGGACTACCTGTACTTTATCACTTTTTTCCTCTTTTTGGGGGGGGGTCAACAAATTTTTGACACCTTGCTAGGCGACTGGTAGTACTCGGATGTTGCCATATCCTAAAAGTGGTACAATGGGTGAAAAGGTTGAAAAGCCCTGCTCTAAAAGAATGCAAATAACCAGCTGCCTGCAAGGAAGATTCCATTCCCCACCATTCAGTCAGAGCTGAAGAAGCTTCTTGGATGAGAAGTGAAACGTCTTCAAAGTCCAGTTGCCTCTTGAAAAAGCACCTTTGAGACAACCATGATCTGGATGACTGAGAGTCTCCATAATTTTCCAACCGTTATTTCTTGTCCTGCTCTCAAGCGCTGAGTAGAATAGGTCAAGAAATGGCTTCTCAAGCACTGGAATGCAGCTATCCAGTCTCCCCTGAGCCTTCTCTTCATTAGTCTAGACCAGTGATGGCGAACCTTTTAGAGACTGAGTGCCCAAACTGCAACCCAAAACCCACTTGTGCATCGTCGGGTGCTGGGTGGGTGTGGCCCATTGGCTGGGTGTGGCCCATTGGGTGGGCATGGCTGCGGTGGTAACGGCAGACTGGGTGGGACTAAAAAGTTCAATCAATCAATTCCAACTTTGCAAGATCTTTTTTTTTCCTGAGAAATTGAAATTGACTGATTGATTGAACCTTTTTTTTTTTTTTTGCACACGGCGGCGGAGGCCTAAAGCGAAAAGGTTTTATAAAACTCAGCTGAAGGCCTAGGACTGGGGCGACGGCACGCGTGCCCACAGAGAGGGCTCTGAGTGCCGCCTCTGGCACCTGTGCCATAGGTTTGCCACCACTGGGCTAGACATAGGCAGGTGGAACATCTTGCATCCCACGCCCCCTCCCACCCACGTGAGGTCAGCCCCAACCATGCTGACCTTTCATAAGAGCCTAAAGACTTGGCCCAATACGGGAGCATCATATCGGAGGTGGTTGATCAGTTAACAACAGATGCTACCTCCCCACCCCACCCTGTTCCTACCCTCCCCATTGGATCGTTGTGTTTCCTGGTATTATTGATCTTTTTATTCCATATATATATATATTTATTTTTTATGATTGTAAATTGCTCAGAATTACCCTGTGGCGAGATGGGCAGCTGATCAACTTTATACCTAACTAAAATAAATACCTAGTTCCCTTCGCCACTTATCGTACAGTTGAGCTTCTAGTCCCCTTATCTTTGTTGCTCTTTTTCTAGACTCTAGAGCAGGGGGTCTTCAAACTTGGCAACTTTAAGATTTGTGGACTTCAACTCAGGGCTGGCTGAGGAATTCTGGGAGTTGAAGTCCACAAGTCTTAGAAGTTGCCAAGTTTGAAGACCCCCTGCTCTAGAGTCTCAGCATCTTTTTTTTGTATCGGGTGACCAGAATTTTAGATGCATTATTCCACATGTTGTCTCAGCAGTGCAATATAAAGCGGTACTATCATTTCACGTAATGTTGATGCTATCCTTCTAGGAGTGCATTGGCTTTTTTGGCTGCTGCAGCACACTTCTGGCTCAGTCTTAAGAGGCTGTCCACTAAGACACTTAGATCCTTCTCACAGTCACTACTGCAAATCTATTTGATGGGAGGTTAAATTTACTACAATAAAATAAAAGTTGGGTACCAGAGATTCTAAACCAGTGGTGGCGAACCTATGGCACGGGTGCCAGAGGCAACACTCAGAGCCCTGTCTGTGGGCATGCGCACTGTCACCCCAGTCCTAGGCCCTCAGCTGGGTTTTATAAAACCTTTTCGCTTTAGGCCTCTGCCGCCGTGTGCCAAAAAAAAAGGTTCAATCAATCAATCAATCAATTTCAACTTCTCGTGGGAAAAAAAAAGATCTTGCAAAGTTGGAATTGATTGATTGAACTTTTTAGTCCCACCCAGTCTGCCGTTACCACCGCAGCCACGCCCACCCAATGGGCCACACCTACCCAATGGGCCACACCCAGCCAATGGGCCACACCCAGCCGGCACCCGACGATGCATAAGTGGGTTTGGGGTTGCAGTTTGGGCACTCGGTCTCTAAAAGGTTCACCATCACTGGGCTAAACGCTATTTTAAGAGAGCACTGTGCGCCTACCCTTTTGTGTGCTTTCCTCTGTGTGATGGGATAGCAGCACATTTGAAATCCTATCTTTCGTAGAACGGGGGCTTCTGAGAAAGAGATGCCGTGGATCGAAACGGACAAGATCCGTGTGTGTGTACGAAAACGCCCCCTCGGCTTACGAGAAGAGAGGCGTGGAGAAGTGAACATCCTCACAGTGGAAGACAAAGAAACTCTTCTGCTCCATGAGAAGAAAGAGGCAGTTGACCTCACTCAGTACATTTTGCAGGTGTGTGTGTGTGTGTGTGTGTGTGTGTGTGAGAGAGAGAGAGAGAGAGAGAGAGAGAGAGAGAGAGAGAGAGAGAGAGAGAATTACAATTCTTAGCATAATTTAACTTTAGAATGTTCAGTTCAATGAACTACTACTACAGCTACTGTTCAATTCAATGAACTACTACTACAGCTACTGATTTTTAGGAATATCTAATTTTTTCCATCTTTCTATATCCCTATATCTATATCCCAAAGGTGCTTTTCCCAAAGGCAACTGGACTTCCAGCTGCCTTTGGGACGAGCATCACCTGGATGACTGAGAATTTCCACAACCATCTTTCTATAGCTATATTGACTGCTTTCTTCCCCAGAGATAACGACTTGATGGAGCTTAGAAATAAAATGAGGCAGATAATTTTTTCCCTATACTGTATATCTATTTGCTGTTGCTGATGGTGTTGCTTCTCAGTGGGTCTAATGTGGCTTTGTATTATCAGACCAACATAGCTTCTCATAACTTTAAAAGAGCCGTGGTGGCGCAGTGGTTAGAATGCAGTATTGCAGGCAGACTCTGCCCACAGTCAGGAGTTCAATTCTGACCAGCTCAAGGTTGACTCAGCTTTCCATCCTTCTGAGGTCGGTAAAACGAGGACCCAGATAGTTGGGGGTTCAAAAGGCTAACTCTAAACTGCTTAGAAAGGGCTGGAAAGCACTGTGAAGCGGTATATAAATCTTAAGTGCCATTGCTATGGCTAAAGGGATTATGTTCCTGGTTATGCCCGCTACCAGTATGCCTAGTTAAAGGAATTAAAATCTTTTTTTTTTCTTGCACTAAATATCCCTTTTGTCATTTTCAGCATGTGTTTTATTTCGACGAAGTCTTTGGGGAGACATGTTCCAATCAAGATGTGTACATGAAGACCGCCCATCCTCTTATTCAACATGTGTTTAGTGGGTAGAGTATCCCTGTTGAATATTTTTTCAAATTAACATTTTTATTGTTCAACTATCTCGGCCTTCGGTTTTATGCCTTCCAAACCTCCAGTTCAGCAGTCTTCAGTTTTGGAGGTGATTTTGAGAATTGAAGTCTAATTTACGCAAGAGGATCAGTGTTGGGAAGACTGATCTATCACTTTAAAAAGCCAAAGGAAGTGAGGTGGATGGAGCTTCAAGACTTAATGGGTCTTCTTCAGTATGAGTTGTCTACTCTTTGCTGCCACACACAACAACCCAACTAGGTAACATCATCAGTGCTAGGCTGATAATGTTACCTAATTTCGGCAATGAAATGTCTGCGAAACCACAATCAAGCTCAAATTTTGTCCATAAGGTGTAAGGAAGGTTTGGGCCTGACTGGATTTCGTCTGTCATCTCTCAGCCTGGAACTGTCAGTTCCTCATTACAGCTGTACAGGGATCTGAATGGGTTTCATGGATTTCAAATTCTGCAGTCTGTTCTGCTTAGTATCTTTGGAAATTGATGACTTTAACCCCTCTATTTTGCAGGAGAAATGACCCCCAAAAAATTTGGTGTCCTAAACCCTGAGGAAAAATCTCTGCCAGCTCCGATCGTTGTGGTTTACCTCAATTTCCAGACATATTTTGCCCCTAGCGTTTATTCACATATAAAAATGTGTAAATATGTGTAATGAAGTATTGTATAAAAATGTGTAATAAAAGTATCACTTTGGGTTACTGTGTTCCAACCAAGAGGAATACCCTTTGATATTTTAATCTCTTGTGATGTCTTTTCCCCCCCCCTTCGTCTTCTGTCTGTGATACGGCTATTCAAATAAATAAAGACTATCTTAATAATAATAATGATAAAGTTGGAAGGGACCTTGGAGGTCATCTAGTCCAACCCCCTGCTCTGGCAGGAAACCTTATACCATTTCGGACAAATGGCTGTCCAGTCTCTTCTTAAAAACTTCCAGTGTTGGAGCATTCACCGCTTCTGGAGGCAGGTTGTTCCACTGGTTAATTGTTCTGACTGTCAGGAAGTTTCTCCTTAGTTCTAGGTTTCTTCTCTCCTTGATCAGTTTCCATCCATTGCTTCTTGTCCTGCCTTCAGGCGCTTTGGAGAATAGCTTGACTCCCTCTTCTTTGGGGCAGCCCCTGAGATACTGGAAGGCTGCTATCATGTCCCCCCTCGTCCTTCTCTTTGTTAAACTAGACATCCCCAATTCCAGCAACCATTCCTTATATGTTTTAGCCTCCAGTCCTAGCATACCTGGAATGGAACATCCTGAAGTCATTAATAAAAAGCTTCATTATTACTTTTAATCTTTCCTTGGTTGCAGAGGCAATGCCACCTGCTTTGCATATGGACAAACAGGGGCAGGAAAGACCTACACAATGTTTGGCACCCAAAAAAACCCCGGCCTCTACGCCTTGGCCGCTAAAGAGATCTTCAGGCAACTGGAAACCACACAGGCTAGGAAAGACCTCCACGTCTGGATCAGCTTTTACGAGATCTACTGCGGGCAGCTTTATGACTTGCTAAACGGAAGAAAGAGGTATTTAACTCTGAGAACACAAAGTTTATTTTTTTTGGGAGGGGGGAAATGACATAAATCAGATGAAGTTCGGTGGAATTACAGCTCCATGAAAGACCCCCCAAAGCTAGGGAGACTAACGTGCTTTTTAAATTAATGTTTGCAGAATTGTGCAAGTTGCTTGATGTACAGATAGTCCTCAACTGACGACCACAATGGATCCCAAAATTGATGTTCCTAAGTGAGACATTTGTTCAGTGACTTTTGACTCATTTTACAACCTTTCTTACCACAGCTGTTAAATAATAATGATAACAACAACAACAACAACAACAAAACAACAACAACAACAACAACAACAACAACAACAACAATAATAATAATAATAATAATAATAATAATAATAATAATAATAATAATAATAATAATAATAATAATAATAATAATAATAAAGTTTAAAGGGACCTTGGAGGTCATCTAGGCCCTAGACCAGGGGTAGGCAACTTTGGCTCTTTTATGACTCGTGAACTTCAATTCCTGAGCCAGCCATGCTGAGGGGAAAGGGAGAGGTTCCAAGCTGAGCCATGCTGGCTCAGGAATTCTGGGAGTTGAAGTCCACGAGTCATAAAAGAGCCAAGGTTGCCTACCCCTGGCCTAGACCGTATTTTATGGGAAATCATTGTACCCAACACTTTTTCAAAAGTTTATTTTTAGAGCATTTGTTGCACTTCTTTCCAAGTTTCTCTACTAATCTCTTGAGGGTTTCTCTGCAGGCTTTTTGCAAGGGAAGATAGCAAGCACGTCGTACAGATAGTCGGACTGCGCGAGGTCCACGTGAATACGGTCAGCTTGCTTCTGGAGGTAATTTTTTTTTAATAATGTTTTATTAATTTTCCAATTTTACATTTAAGTATTTAAAAAGCAACGTGGTGACTGGTTTAATCCATAGCTCGATAACAAAATCTTTAGTGCAAATCTCAGGTTACAACATCAGATATTTCTTCTCTTTTTCCCTTAACATTCACTGTCTCGTATTCAAGCTAGTAGATTTCTAATTATATCAATAAAAATATCCTTATTACATTTATCCATACATTTTTTAGCTTATACATATCTTAATTACATTCAATCTTCATAAGCAATCCGTATCCTGTTATTAATTTTTACCCAATGTTTAGTTTCTCAGCAATATTCCAATTTAACCTTTGATATTTATAATTTTCAGACTTTAGGTTACCAAGATTTCCCCTGTCTCAATTCATAGCAAAATATAATATCCAAAATACACATTTTATCTATTTAAATGTAATCTTGTTCTATTTCCTAAGAGTTATCTATTTCCTACCATATTAAATCATCAGCTTAATAATACAATGTCCCCTTTAACAAATCAAAACCGTTATGTATATTATCTGGTTTAATCAATGAATCAAACATATTCATAATAATTGATTTTCTTTTCCCTTTTAGGTCTAATTTTTAAATGTTAAACAGATAAAATCCTTATTTTCAACTAATTTCCATAGTAATTTTGACCCTGTAGAATTCTATTTATCTTCTTGTATTTATGGTAATGGGAAGCTCTGCCTTCAGCCTCTTGCTGTTCTTGCACCTCCTACCTTATCGGATGAATTTTGGGAAATAAGTTACCAGTCAGGACCAGAAGGGAAAGTTTGGAGAATTTTGGAAGCTCCAGTTCAACTGCTCTGGAAGCACATTGGGAGGGGAGGCAGTCTGAAAGTTGAAGTGGAAGCTATGGCTTGGAAGACCCCCACGTCTCAGATCTTCCTCATGCTTGGCAATGACATGATCCCATAATAGAGATAAGCGTGGGGTCCTTGGTCGTCTCCGAATTTGGTTGTTTTCTTGCAGACGTTTCACTACCAAACTAGATATCAACAACAGTGCTGAAAGAGAGGGGAATTTGCTCTCTATTTATACACCAGTGGCTTGCCCTGTCAGTGCTGGTGGGAGGGTTCTTGGTGGTTGCTTGATTAGGCTGCTATTTTATTCCTTGATTATTGGTCTAGTATTAAGATGAGAGAGACAGAGAGAGACAGACAGACAGAGAGACAGAGACAGACAGAGACAGAGAAAGACGGAGAGGAAGAGAGAGAGAGAGAAAGAAAGAGAGGGGGAGAGAGAGAAAGAGAGAGACGGAGGGAAAGAGAGATAGACAGAGATAGAGAAAGACGGAGAGGAAGAGAGAGAGAAAGAAAGGGGGAGAGAGAAAGAGAGGGGGAGAGAGAGAGAAAGACAGAGAGAGAGACAGAGAGGAAGAGAGAGAGAGAAAGAAAGAAAGGGGGAGAGAGAGAAAGAGAGAGGGAGAGAGAGACAGACAGAGAAAGACGGAGAGGAAGAGAGAGAGAGAGAAAGAAAGAGAGGGAGAGAGATAGATAGACAGAGATAGAGAGAGAAAGATGGAGAGGAAGAGAGAGAGAGAAAGAAAGAACGAGGGGGAGAGAGAGAAAGAGAGAGAGAGAGAGAGACCAACCAATGGAAGAGAATATTTGTAGCTTAGGGTTGAATTAGAGGTCCTTGGTGCTGTCTGAGCTTGTTTGTTTTCTTGCAGACGTTTCACTACCAAACTAGGTAACATCATCACTGCTAGAAGGGAAAGGCGTTTTGCTCTCTGTTTGGCTTCCCCACGCTGACAGGGCAAGCCACTTCTATATAAACAGAGAGCAAATCCCATTCCTTTTTTGCATTTTTACCCAATTGGCTCATGAATCATCTGCAAGAAAACAGCCGAGCTCGGAGAACGCGAAGGACCCCACAGTTTTATTACTGTGCAGTTGCCCCCCCCTCCTCATTTCTCTGCTTTCAACCTCCTCCACCCCCAGGTCATTCTGAAAGGAGGGAAGGAACGCAGCACAGGGGCGACTGGAGTCAACTCCGATTCTTCCCGATCCCACGCCATTATCCAGATTCAGATGAAAGATCCTGCAAACAGAGTGTTTGGGAGGTGAGCACAGAAGAAGTGGGAAGAGCAGGCTTTCCTGGAGCTTTCCGCGGTCCTCAAAGGTGTAAGCTGGCTGGGTGTCCTTACCAATTCCTTCAGCACACGTAGGTAATTGGGACACCTGAACATCAGCTCAACTTAGCTAGTCATTTACTAGGTGTGAGTTTTCTAAAGGAATTCAAGGAGATCACATAGTTGGCTTCTACATAATGATAAACCATCTCCAGGATCGGGAGAAGATGTCCAGACATTTGGGCAGCAGGCCATTTTCCCATTTAATTTCTGATTTTTCTTTCCTGAGCCGGAAGCATTAACGTGATCCATTTACTGCTTCTATTGGTTATTGTATCTTCCTTGAAATATTGAATCAAAGAGTAGTATACGTTTTTTTAAGTTGATTTGAGATAAACTTCTGTTGAAGGAAAAGTCTTTATCGTGGTCCAGTCCAAGCCGGGGGGATAAACAACATGGCGACTGCCTTAGAAAGAAGATTGCAGTTTATTGAAGAGCCAGACAAAAAGATGGTTTTGGAAGAAAAGAGGAGAGAAAAAGGGATGACCACATGTGGGGAGTGGGTTTTTATACCCTCTGGAGCCTTTTGTTTGGAGTTGCTGCCTGTTCCTGTGGCATAAACTTTGACCTGAGTCTGAGGGTGTCTTTCTGGTATTCTGATGATGATAGGTTAATCCTATTATGTCCTAAAGGTCATATCCTGCTTCCCTGGGGCTGATGACTCTTAGAGTTTGGATGGGGTATATAGATTTTAGGTCTTTGTCTTCTTAATCTCCTAGCTCCCTGGATTTACATCTGCATCTCTATAGAGCTGGTTTCTGCCTGGGGAAGGGAGACTTGGGGCTATTAAGAAAACTGGGCATGCTTTCCTGCCTCTTTAAGATCCTTGGAGGAAATATATTTTTCTGCCCTTTTAATATTTCCTTCTCTGGGGGGCTGATTTCCCACACTTCAATATCCTTGAGCCAAACACAGTTTCTTAATAAATTCTACCTGGCTGTGGGAGCTGGAACTTCACTGGGCAGGTTAACATCCTGAATGTTGTCTTCCAGAATCTCATTTATTGATCTGGCTGGCAGCGAGAGGGCAGCTGATGCCAAAGACTCTGACCGACAGACAAAAATGGAGGGAGCAGAAATCAATCAGAGTCTTCTAGCAGTAAGTAAACACAGGTTCTTCTTCCCTGCTGAGTTCTTCTGAAGCCGGTACTTTATGGGTCAAGTGTCTGTGGAGACTCTCAGTCATCCAGGTCCTAGTTGTCCCAAAGATGCTTTTTTTTTTCACGAGGCAACTGGACTTTCTTGTTCTTTCTTTGAAGACATTTCATTTCTTTTCATCCCAGAAGCTTCTTCAGCTCTGACTGGAATGGTGGGGAATGGCAGGATTTATACTCCTTGCAGACCGCTGGCCATTTGCATCCTTTTAGAGAGTCATTGAGGCCATCTGGAGGTTTATCTGTGTTGTTCTGTGACATGAATCAAATCCCTTTGTAATCCAATCACAGACAGATAAACTCAAAGAAAGATGATTCCAAAACAGATAATTTATTCAGTCAGAAAACAATACTTGCTCTTTGTAGATTCCGTCTGGATATTGCAATCTGTTCATCTTCATTAGGTAAATTCATTAGCTTCTCCACATCAACTTCTCACGTGGAGTGGAACCATCTGAGTCATCCGATGGCCCCCATGCTTATCTCAGACAAAGAACATTCCCAACTGGCCCATGGCCAGGATTATCCTGTGATGAACTTTAGTGGCTCCTCCTTTCCTCCTACCACTGACCTATTAACATGGGATAGCTGACTAGCTAAAACTACATTACCCATAAGCCGTCTCTTAAGGAGACAGCCCTTAACCCAATAAATACCAACATTCTAGCATACAGACCTACATGATCCAGAACATGTGTCCTCGGGGTCACCTGAGTAGTGCAAATGGGTGTGGAGCCTTCTAGGAACTGCTGAAAGGACTGTGTTGTAGACTGAAGATACATGAGGTCGTACCCCTCCCCCTCTGTTGAGAGAGGGCTGTTCAATTTTGAGATAGATGGCCTCTTGGACCCCTCTTTCAAAGCAGCGGTCCTCTCTGTCCAAAATGTGGACTTTGCTGTCTTCGAAAGAGCGGCCCTTGTCTTTCAAATGCAGATGGACTGCTGAATCTCAGGCATTTATTTTGCCTGAAAAAGATGTGGCTTCTGACTTGCATAGCCCTGGGTTAGGATGGGAAAGGACCCTGTCCAAAAAGACAGCTGCCAATGTAAACATCTGTCCAGCCTAGCAAAATATAAATTTCATCCCTCTGGCTCGGGTGATGGGAGAGGGCAAGACTTCCACAGAGCCGCACAGCCTGTTGAGCTAAACCAGGGGTAGGCAACCTCGGCTCTTTTATGACTCGTGGACTTCAACTCCCAGAATTCCTGACTCAGCATAGCATAGCCAAGGTTGCCTACCCCTGAGCTAAACTGATCAGCTGCTGGTCTGAGTTTAGAAAGGAAGCACTTTCATAGATTCACACAAGCAGGGAGGGTTAAGCGATCAAATAGTTTCAGTTTAAAAAAATAATGCCAAAATACATTTTGATAAAAAGAAAAGAAAAACCAGGAGAAGGAAGGAATTAGTTCAGCCAGTAAGAGCTAACTGACAGAGAATGTGATTATATGCACACATGCTCCTCCCCCCCAAAAAACCCCAACACCAAATGTTTTGGGAAAGGAAAGCAGAGTTTTCTTCCACTGATTAGAAGCACTGATAGCTAACAAGATTGTTACTCTAACTCTTTGGGTGAGGTTGCTGGCGCCCACACGATGTCTTTTCCTGCAGACATTTCATGACCCAACTAGGTACTGTCGTCAGTGCTAGAAGGGAGTAGAGTTTGCTCTCTGTTTTTATACAAGTGGCATGTATTCAAGGAACCACCAGGAACACTTCCATCAACACTGACAGGGTGAGCCATGATCAAGTTCAGAATCACCAAGGACCTCAGAGTCCTCCTCCTCCTCCTCCTCCTCCTCCTCCTCCTCCTCCTCCATCATTTCAACACCTCACTTCTTTCAAGCACTGATGATGTCACCTAGTTGGATCATGAAATATCTGCGAGAAAACCACCAAGCGCAGAGAGCACCAAGGACCCCACAATCATCCTCCTCCTCCTCCTCCTCCTCCTCCTCCTCCTCCATTCTGCAAACCCCACTCTCTTCTAGAATTGATGACAGTACCTAGTTGGGTCATGAAATGTCTACCAGAAAGCCACCAAGCTCAGAGAGCACCAAGGGCCCCACAGTTCAACTCTGAGCTACAGGGTTTCTCCTCCATCTTCTAACCCCTTGCCCTAGGAAGACCTTGACAGAGCTCTTGCAGAAAGTTGGAGGAAGAGACACAAATTGCAAAGGCCTCTCATGTCTTTGGGAACTTCAGCTGTTGGGTTCAGCAGGGCTTTGTGAGGGAACGGCCCCGGGTCAATGTTGATATGTAGAGTCTTGGGTGATAACTCCCTGTTTCTTCTCTTCTGTCTCTCTAGCTGAAAGAATGCATCCGTGCGCTCGATCAGGAGCACGCCCACACTCCCTTCAGACAAAGCAAACTGACCCAGGTACTACTGGAGACTGACTCAGCTCTCAGCTTTCCCCCAAATTCTACAAACATCTCTCTCTCTCTCTCTCTCTCTCTCTCTCTCTCTCTCTCTCTCTCTCTCTCTCTC